CCCGGAGGTGCCTACTACTACGTGCAGGCCGCTGACGACGACCAAGAGTAGTTAGGAGGATCCCAGGCAGGAGGCCTGCGCCTCTTTCGATCTGTATCCCATTTTGTGCTAGCCATCTTATGGCAACTTGTTTAACTTATGTCTGTACTCAGATATTGTTGCTTCCGCTGACTCGTCTATGATCGAGCACTTGTATTCGAGCCCTCGATGCCCTGGCTTGTATTATGATGCTTGTATGACTTATTTTATTTGTAGAGTTGTGTTGTGATATCTTCCCGTGAGTCCCTGATCTTGATCGTACACATTTGCGTGCATGATTAGTGTACATTGAATCGGGGGCGTCACAATTGGATCGCGAAGACATTCGACTACATCAACCGCTTTACTCAACGCTTCCGCTTTCGGTCTACGAGGGTACGTAGACACACTCTCCCCTCTTGTTGCTATGCATCCCTAGATAGATCTTGCGTGATCATAGGAATTTTTTTGAAATACTGCGTTCCCCAACAGATGCTCCTGTAGGTACTCTTTCACACCAGGTTTGTTGTACAATTGTCTAAGATGGTAGTTGTGTTTTTCATGCTATATGTCAATGAACAGGGCCATAAATTTTCATCAATTTTTTTACCTCTAATGTTTTTTTTGAAAAATTGGCTGACAAATGCCTCATGCATTCTCTGTGCTCCACTCTTGATAATACATCTTCCACCGTAGTCTCTAGTCCCTTGCATGCATCTCTATGGATAACAAGACCTGGTGGATGCCCTATTACGTTTTTTTATTCTAGAAAAACAATGTCCCGCTTTCTATGTTTTCAGACTCAAAAACTCCAAATGCTACTGGGAAGATCCAGTTGCAAGCATCCACTGCACATGCATTGACAAGTTTCCCTCTATATCTAACCTTTAATGTTGTGCCATCTACCGCAAGGTAAGGCCTACATCCATCCAGAAAACCCTGCCAGCATGCTTTGAAATAAACAAACACTCTCCTAAAGCACTCTTTCTCTCTAGTTTTTTCATTTTTTTGTACTATACAATGTGCTTATCAATGTGTACGACACTGCCAGGAGATGCTTTCTCAACTTCTGCCTTGAAAGTATACAACAGTTGAAATGAGTCAATCCACTTACCATAGATGTTGTCAAGTGCCATTTGCTTCCCACAGAACACTCTCATGTATGGGAGGTCCAGGTCATACTTCTTCTTAAGGTTCTTTTTCAACTGTGTAAATCCAATCTTTGGATCCTCTAGAACCCAGTTCTTCACATCATCAGCAACCCATCTGCTCTTAGCCGACTTCAATCTCTTCCTTCTGTTGGCACTTGGACAAGTATGAGCATTCTTGTTCACTTTGACCTGCAAATATGAAAGTTAAAATACATGTCAGGACATATGTGCTGGAACTGATAACTGAATAAAATTACAATGTAACTATGTATGCATCTAGTGTTACAAAATCAAATTAATACCTGAGATAGTGTGTTATGCCTCACTAAAGAGGCATGCATCCTCCACCTACACCTCTTATAAGCACAATGAACAGTCAACCTAGTAGGATCACTTTTGTCTACTATAAATTCACTTTGAGTCTTTATTGAGAAAGTGGCAAGTGCATTCCTACAATCTAAAGCACTGAAAAATATAGTTCCTTCTTTTAGAGAAGGATCATCTCTGTTGTACTGCACATCTAGCCTTGCATCATCTGAATCCTCATTGTATCCCATGTCCATGTCCTCCTCCAACTCATCTTCACCTGGCTCATCAAACATGCCTTCTGGTGGTGGAATATAATCTTCTTCCCCCTCCTCGTCTTTTTGTGGGCTTCTGTCTTGTAACAAACTATGGGAAAAGCCTTTCATCCTCATCATCTGTAGGCCAATCATCAGGAAGTTCCTCTTCAATATTTGGACCAGCAGAATCTCTGCTACTAGTAGGAGCTGCATGACTAGGAACTTCTACTGTTGGTGTTCCTGGTACCTACATAGAGCTCTCTCCTGCATCTGCAGCTCTGTTCTTACTGGACTCAGGCTGTGAACTATTAATAGTTCTTTTTCTCCCCCTAGATTGACTTCTACCTCTAGAACTAGTAGATTGTGATCTTCTTTCACTGCTCTTTGTTTCTCCTCTTCTTCTCTGTATAACATTGATTTCTAATTTGTCCAGGACAAAAACATGTGTTGTAAACATTCTTCCTAGCTCATCATCACATTGGACTGGGACCCAAACTGCACTATCAATGTCCTAGTACCTGAATTCTACAACATCATGTATTCCCCAGGGGTATTTATCACAAATTAGAGATCTAAACTGGTCAAACTTTAGTGTGCTCTCCACAACCAAAGGAAATGAGAACCCTGTTTCCCGTGCTTTTGTACCATCAGGAACTAGAAGTGTCGTTTGCATTATACAATCCAGACAAATATGTTCGCCCTAGGGATAACCATGGAAAACAGAGAAAAAATTGAACCAAATGAGCACTATGAACGCAGTAACCAACAAACCCAACTACAAGAACTAAACAGAACAATGAACATTCTTCAGATCTGAAAGTCAGGCACTTACCCAACCGAAGCATCCATCGCTGGCGTTGTGCTCCTTTGATGGCCACCGCGCAACTACCGTCACCCTCCATCTGTAGCAGTTGTGTCCTATCCACAGCACAGCAGCACACGGAGTCAAAACAATGGAATCTCCATCGCGGCCGCCATTGGTCTGGAGCTTTGCTTGCCGGAGATCGAAGGCTCTAGGGTTAGGGTTATGTCACGATTTGGGGGAAGAGTGAGTGGGTCGAGCGAGAGAACGAGAGAAAGTGGAGCGAACAGGTGAGTTTGGGCCATGCAGGGGCAAAATTGTCAAACCGGCGGCCAATTAGCGGTCAAACAGGCTTGACTCGACGGAAACGGCATGGAGGGGCATCCTATATATCTAAGAGATTCATCTTCACTAAAGCATTTATCTCAACATGCAGGCTATCCATATCATCAACCAGCCACGTCACCGTTTTCTTATCAACTCACACGAGGGACCCACCACAATTTGACTCGGAGGTCTCTCTACCTTAATTCAAGCGGACCCATCGTCTCGCGCGGTGGCCACGATCCGTTTCACGCCCCTCCTTGAAACCAGAAAAGAAAAGCCGCTTCAGCCTTCTCGCAAGTCACAGCGGACCCATCTGTTGTCAGTTACCAGCTGGCATAATAAGTCTGTAAAATGTATCGTCATTTGTCAGTTACCACCTGACATAATAAGTACGTAAAATGTATCGTCATTCGTCAGTTACCGATGGGTGCAACATTTATTGCCTAGCACGTCGTCTTCCCCACTTCATCGTTCTTGACTCCATAAAACTGAGATGAGGATCTAGCAGAATTTGATCTGCTGGCTCTACTCCCTGGGAAGAAATACAAAAACGCACCCTCCCATCGTTGCTAGCCCACCGCAAGCTGCTTCTATACCACGAGGGAGCTTCAACGCTAGCAGCCTCAGTATCCAAGAAGATCCAAAAAATGCATTGGTGGCTGGAGGGAGATCGAGACCTGATGGTGAAGGAATCGAGATGAAAAATAATTCACGAATTTGTGCAGCGGTGCGAATCATTAGGTGAGACGACGTCCCTCACTGCTTGTCACTTGCTGAACTTTTCCATCAACATCTCATTTGTCCTCTTTGATCTTAATAATAAAATAATAGTATCACCAAGCAGAGCAGTTGTGGATAAAAGCGCTTGATTCAAGATGCTGCATTATGGCATAACCCCTTAGCTCGAAGGCCATGATGCCACCACCGTTAGCCATGGCGGCGGCCTAGGATCTCGCCCAAGTATTGGAGATGTGCTGTGTGGGGTGCAGTGAGACGCTGGAGGCAAACGAGGGCGGAAGAACTTCGTCTACCCGAACTGTCGCACGTCGCAAAGCACTCTCATCCCATCGCCCCTGCCGCGCGGAGCCATGGATCTGCCTAATGCTATTTTCTTACTGAATTATTTTAGCCCTCTGGTAAATGTTGTGCAAGTTCTGTTGTACAAAATATTTGAGATGTGTTATTCTTGAAAAAATTGACAAAATGTTTAGTATGAATAGTTTTTTAATCATTTTCATGATGTGGATCCTACTCTCAAACCTCGTGCTCACTTCACAGCTATACATGCAACGATGGAGTCACTATTTTTCCTTACCTTTTCCTTTTTGACAAAATGAAACCGATAAGGAGTCATTGTTTGTTCATAGCGATGATAGATTTCTTTAACATTCCCGTATGTTCTTAACTACATTATCAAGAAATTTTGTGCACTAATTCCCGCTGCAACGCACGGGGGAATTATCTAGTTTCTATAAGTGAAACTGACGAAAGAAAGGCAAATTTAAGCACCCTTCAAAATTAGGGGCATATCTGAGTAGTAGGATCCAGTTAGGGGCATAGATGTAAATGTTCCTAAATTTTTGCATGGCATGTCTGAATTTAAATGCTTCCCTCCTACATGTGAGGCACGTCTATAAGCTTGTTCGATTTGTTTACCACATATTTCACCAAATTCAGATATTGACATTTGTTGTTTTAGCTTTGGTTGCTCAATTTTTGAATGGGAAGGCTTGGAATTGTAATATCACATGATCATTTTTTTTAACCAATGGCCATGCATATTTTGTAAATGTCTGATCAACACAAAATAACCTCGGCGCAGCAAAGCACGGAATATGCTATCCCGGACTTTATTTCTCATCTTATTGTAAACGATCTCGCTGTTATTTGAGAAATAAAGGTTTTTCCTTGTCAAAAAAAAGCACTCGACTGGTACTAGTTTGTGTTTTTTTAGGGACAGTTTGTGCTAATCTTTTCTTTTTTTGAGGGTTGATCGATAGGCTACACGTCTTGCACGGAATATTCCATCGAGCGGTGCTTCCCACATCGCCAGTGACTCGCACACACCTTCCAGCTGGTCGTAAGGGTAACCTTTTTTCTCCACGTCCACCCCGCGCTTCGCTCGGCGTCCCCGGCAAAATGCACCCCAAAACCCCGCTTCTCCTCCTCCTCTTCTTCGCCGCCGGCGAGGCCGCGGGGACCACCCTCACGGCCACCCCGGCGAAGCTCACCCAATCCGACCAAGAAATCAAGATCCGGTGGTCCGACCTCCCGTCCCCGGATGGCCTCGACCACGTGGCGATCTACTCCCCGCCGTCCTCCAGCGACCGCGACTTTCTCGGCTACATCTTCCTCAATGGCTCCACCTCCTGGCGCAGCGGCCGAGGAGAGCTCACCATCCCACGGCTGCCCAACCTGCGGGCGCCCTACCAGTTCCGCCTCTTCCGCTGGCCTGCCAAAGAGTACTCCTACCATCACGTCGACCACGACGGCAACCCGCTCCCCCACGGCCGCCACCGCGTCGCCCTCTCCGGCGAGGTCGCTTTCGCGGGCTCGGCCGCGCGGCCCGAGCAGGTGCACCTCGCGTTCGCCGATAGGGCCGACGAGATGCGGGTGATGTTCGTGTGCGCGGACGCCGGAAAGAGGGCTGTCAGGTACGGGCTTGAGAAGGAGGAGGAGAAGGGCTGGGCGGAGGTGGGCACGGAGGTGAGGACGTACGAGCAGAAGCACATGTGCGACGCGCCGGCGAACGACAGCGTAGGGTGGAGGGATCCGGGCTTCGTCTTCGATGGCCTCATGAATGGGTTGGAGCCCGGAAGGAGGTACTTTTACAAGGTAAACCAGAGATTGAATTCCCCACAAGAAAATACCCAGAGATTGAACCTGCAAAAAACTAATTTTATCAATCGTGATAGCAATTTTGCTCCATCAATCTGGCTTAGAAGCTCAGATGCATTTAGAGATTGATGTTCGTGTGCATAGGATTCGAGTCTGGGTGTGAGCTAGAGAATATTTCTCGTTTCAGAAGATAGTTCAACCTATGTAGACCTACAGGTAATTGCAAAGCAGCTCCACCATTTTAACCACCCTTGAAGCTAAGGTGGTCCTGAACCTGTGAACCACAGTTAGACCCTTTAAATATAATTCTACATCAGTACTACTCATAATAGAAAATATTCGCCAAAAAGGTGAAATATATGCTTTAAACAAGTACTCTCTCCGTACCAAAATATATGCTTTAAAGGTCTTATATTTTGATACAGAGGGAGTATAAGGACAGCCTAGGCCACACTCGTAGATCATCTGAATTGGCGTCGAAGTCAAAAATCAATGTAATCGTTGACAAATTAATGCCATACAACCTCCAATCAACATACCTTAAGTACACATATTCAGAACATACCACATTACAGAATTGCATACTGAGTTCTAGGGATGTATCAAAACTTTCAGAAAAAACGGCCCAACACATCAGTTTTCATCGGCACCAAAAGGGAGCACACCCAAATAATGCTTAAAGTTTCCAAACACAATATAGAGTGGGATCATTAAATCAGGATTGTTAATATATTATATAATACGATAAAATTAATGACGTGAAGTTCTGTATCAGTGTGATCACAATCTTTAGGAGCAATAGCTAGTATATAAAAATGTCATCCTTTTGAGTTGTGATGGAAAGAACTACATACAATTCATTCAAACAATACCATCTTATGAAACAAAATTCTCAACATTTCCTACGCATTTGATCAACAAATCTCCAGAACATGATGTAGTATTAACTACTCCCTCCGTTCCAAATTACTCGTCGTGGTTTTAGTTCTGAACTAAAACCACGACGAGTAATTTGGAACGGAGGGAGTATTAAACAAGATGTGAAAACAAATTATAAGCGGTTGTATCTCTCTGGCTTACCGTCTATGCTCAGTCCTCTCATAAAAATTAAGGCCGTCGAAGACATAGTCTAGGCCATAAGCCTAACAAGCTGGCCTGTGGGGCAAGCTAAGCTAGCCCAACAGCAGCAAACAATTGTTATCTACATGTTCAGCATGTATTTTCTCTTTAGCTAACTGAGCTATTTTTGGTAGGTCGGTAGTGACCCGGGAGGATGGAGCAAGACATACAGCTTTATTTCACGTGACAGTGAGGCCAATGAAACCATTGCTTTTCTCTTCGGTGATATGGGCACTTATGTACCATATAACACCTACATCCGCACACAAGATGAGAGCTTGTCAACGGTGAAGTGGATCCTCCGTGATATTGAAGCCCTTGGAGATAAGCCTGCATTTATTTCGCACATTGGGGACATCAGTTATGCCAGAGGCTATGCTTGGGTGTGGGACCATTTCTTCAGCCAGATTGAGCCTATTGCAGCCAATACTCCATACCATGTCTGCATAGGAAATCATGAGTATGACTGGCCTTCACAACCTTGGAAACCTTCGTGGTCTACATATGGAAAGGATGGTGGAGGTGAATGTGGAATACCATACAGTGTCAAGTTCAGGATGCCTGGGAATTCTGTTTTACCTACTGGCAATGGAGCTCCGGACACACGGAATCTCTATTACTCTTTTGATTCAGGTGTCGTGCATTTTGTATACATGTCGACTGAAACTAATTTCGTTCAGGGCAGCGACCAATACAATTTCCTAAAAGCTGACCTGGAGAAGGTGAACCGAAGTAGAACCCCATTTGTTGTGTTTCAGGGCCACCGGCCCATGTATACCTCGAGCAACGAAGCCAGGGATTCTGCCATGAGACAGCAGATGATCCAGCATCTTGAACCGCTCTTGGTGATGTACAATGTGACCCTTGCCCTGTGGGGACATGTCCATAGGTATGAGAGGTTCTGCCCCATGAAGAATTCACAGTGTCTGAACACATCATCAAGCTTCGTATACCCTGGTGCCCCTGTTCATGTTGTGATCGGGATGGCCGGACAAGACTGGCAACCGATCTGGCAACCAAGGCGTGATCATCCAGATGTTCCCATCTTTCCGCAGCCTGGGATCTCCATGTACCGTGGTGGTGAGTTCGGGTACACAAAACTGGTAGCTACCAGGGAGAAGCTAACACTGATGTATGTCGGGAACCACGACGGACAAGTCCATGACATGGTGGAGATGTTCTCTGGACAAACATCTACTGAAGCTAGCGCTACTGAGGCGGTCAATCAAACAAAGCTCAGCTCGGGAACCAGCACCAAGCTGAAGATTTCCCCATTATACTTGGAAATTGGAGGTAGTGTGATGTTGGCATTGCTGCTTGGTTTTGCCTTGGGATTTCTCCTCAGGAAGAAGAGAGAAGCCGCACAATGGACTCCGGTGAAGAACGAGGAATCCTAAGGATCATAGATATTGTCCCTTCGCCTTCAGATACCGTCTGAGACGAATCAGACCGCGCATCAACACAGTAATGTCACTTCTCAACATTTTTTAGGTTCTGTACGTAGCGCTGTGTTTCCTAGCAGATACAGTGTTTAGGTGTGGTGTGGCTGCGTTTGTATATGCCAGGCCTGGGCAACACAGCTTTCTCCCTCCAGTGTACAATAGTCATCCGAAATAAGCAACACGTACGATCTTCACATTATGGTAGTGTTGGTTAGTGAGAATGGTTGACCTGTATCATAATGTAACACGATCCATTTGTCACTATTGTGATCATTGTTGCTCTTTTATGCCAGCTGGTTCATCTATGGCACAACATCATACTATATTAAACAAAATCAAAATAGGCATCAATGAAAAAATGCATGTGTGCATACACTGCAAACAATTGTTAAACTATTGGATGCAGTGTGGATGTGGATGTGGCCTGCTGGTGAGAGCAAGCTTCTCCACTAACAAGATACTGCCAAATTATTGCAACTCCCGCCATCAAAGAAGATACGGACAACATGCAGTTTGACAACCCCTGCTGTTCGGAACAGATTGTGTCACGGATTTAGTTGATTACGGTCATGCATGCCATATGGTCAGCCCGCAACCAATGGACACACGATCAGGTTCCGTTTGTTCCTATTCATTTGGTGAAGAAGGTCATGGATGATCTGCTACTGCTTGATATGCCTACACATAAACACAACATCCCTGATGATCAATGTTGGAGGTGTGTGACGTTGGATGGGTAAAAATCAACACTGATGAGCCAGCAACAATGAAGCTCACATGGGAGGTGGTGGTGGTGTGGTTCAATCTCACCTGGCCTTCATGGGAGCTTGGAGTAAACCCTTCATTGGGGTTCGCACAACAATTCTCGTTCTATTGTAGCACCTATCCGGAGAAATTGTCAAGTTTTATTTCCTTTTCTGTTAGACATGTCCTGTGGGATGTTAATAGTTTGGCGAACCTATGTGCCAACTGCCAAGCATGTGTGTTCCTTGTCGGTTTCTGAATGCTAGCTCGAGAAATGCCTGACTTTTCTTGTTAGCAGCCTTAGAGCTGATTGTAACATGATCTTGTTAAAGCAATAAAGCTGCCCAAATTTTCATGGCAAAACAAAGTAAGACGGAATAAATGTATGATAATATCATACTCTTTTTAATCTACAATGGTCTGGAATTCGATTTAATCACCAAACAAATCTTAGCCATCATAGCCTCGCCACCCCCTTGAAAACTGCAATGAATAACACCAATTTGTAGCTCTTGATAGTATTATTGATGACCAGCAATGACGTAATGCGCCGGACAGATATACTGCAACGGATCAAACTAGTTTGGATGTTATGGTCTATCCTTTTTCGCTTTCTTGTGGATGATAGACATTGAAAAACTTAGGCAATATAAACTATGGAAAACTGAAAAATCTCACCGACTAACCTTGACCTCTGCCACGTGATCACATTATGGGTGTCTAGATCTTTCGACGAGAGGCGCTCGTTCGATATAATTGACAATATACCGTCGGCAGAGGCAATGGGTGTAGCTCTTGTAGAATGCCCTTATCGTTAGTGGCTTACAGATGCGAAGATGCTATATCTAAATGCAAATTGCGAAGAAGAAGCATACGACAAAAACATTATTCTAATCCTGCAAAAAGGCATTATTCGAGTCATCGAGCCTTTGGCCGGCTAAAGAGATGAATGTGCATAATGTTTTCCTTGAATCAGACTCCCAAGCGGCAACGCGAAAGATCTCGGAACAGAACAAGGACCTCTTAGCTTTGGGTCACGTGGTGCAGGAGATCAAGACAGTGCTTCAAACTTTTGACGAGTTTAAAATGAGCTGGGTGTGACGTAAGGCTAACTGCGTAGCACACATTTTTGGCATCATGTAAAACTTGGTTTCAGGTGTCACCCGTAAGCAGTGGCGAATCTAGACAGAAATTGAGGAGTGGGCTCAAAGCCTGTATCATGCAAATATCTGTTGGGTTGGACTTGCAAGTGGCTGAGTTGAGCCTTGAAACTAGTAGTGAAAAACTTTTTTACAGTGCTGGAGGGGGGGCTCAAGCCTGTTAAAGCCCTCCTAGTAGATTCGCCCCTGCCGGTAAGTATTGTTTCGGTGGTAGCCTCGGAGTTTGCTGCATTTGAATAAAATGCAACGATTCCAACTCAAATAAAAAAAGGTGTGGTTCCATGCCAAAAAAATCCGCGCTCCCTGGTCCACAAATGGTCACTCTTAGTGTATTTAGCTACTCCCTCCGTTCCAAAATAGATGACCCAATTTTATACTAAACTTAGTATAAAATTGAGTCATCTATTTTGGAACGGAGGGAGTAGTTATTATATTCTAACAGCTGTGTCCATATACTAGCAAAGATTTATTTTTTGAAAAAAGAAACACCAGTGGCAGGCCGTTGGAGAACGGTCATCCCTCCCCACGTCGTTATTTCCGCCGAGACCAAGGCGAACGCGTCGTGCCGGCCCGTCGCCGTCCTAGTCCTCCTCCTCGTCGTTCTGATCGTCCCCGTTCTGATAGATAGACTAGCAACAAAACCGGCAAAGGCGTTGGCCTTGTAATCTCTCTTGCTATTGTTTTCACTTTACCAGAGCTCCTCTCAAGGCGGCCGGCCGTGCACCCGCCGCCGCCTCCCTCTCGTGCACCGTACTCCTGCGTTTCCTCGACGGCAACGACATCAATGGCGGCACGGCAGTGACCGTTCAAGCGGCGGCACTCGGCCACTGCCTGCTAAGTGGCGGCGACGTCGGCGATAACCGCGCGCGGTACGTTATGTTAATTTACTGCTCCTGTTTCCTGCCTGTACGATCGAGGTCACCTGAGCGTATCCGCTAGCTTTAGTTGAGACCAAGACGATAGGTTATATGGGAAATTGTGGATGTTGACTTTATTGCAATAGAACTCCAGAGGTTTAGATTGCAAGAATGCAAGATTAACACAGATTTTTGCTACATTGGTCGTCAGAATTTGCAGGAATACATCATCGGAGTAAGCCATCTAAGCTGCTGTCCAACATTTGTTTTCTGGCCACTTCAATTTTCCACGCATAATCTGCTGGGAAAGCTCAGTTTCTAATGCTAATGATCATACCTAGCTACTTTCATTCTTACCAATCTAGTATTATTTTGATTCTAGTTGACAATTTTCTTACCATTTTTTCTTTTCTTTCTATGTAGATATTTTGCCTAAACCTTTGGGCTACTTCTTGGTGACGCTTGTTCTGGAGTGAGTCTCTCTAGAGAGACATGGGCTCCCTAAACGACATTGGTGTTGCCGCAGGAATAAACATATTATCCGCAGTGGGCTTTCTTCTCGTGTTCGCAGTTGTTAGGATACAACCTATTAATGATCGGGTATACTTTCCAAAATGGTACCTTAAAGGGACAAGAAGCAGCCCAAGGCACATCGGAAATGTCTTGTCAAAATTTGTGAATGCTGATGTGTCAACATATCTTCGGTTTCTCAACTGGATGCCCGCCGCGCTGAAAATGCCAGAACCTGAGTTAATTGAGCATGCAGGACTAGACTCTGCGGTATATGTCCGCATCTATCTTCTCGGGTGAGCATGATATCTGTGTATCTGAATTCTCACACCACAGCATTATACTAGTTGCTTACACTTCATGTCTTCCAAGTTCCAAAATGCCTATTTTGTGATGTAAACAGATGGATATGTGGATCACTGTGTTTGTAACCAAAAAAACATTATGCCTAATGATGGTGCATTGTTGTTTTGCTTTGCAGTTTAAAAATATTTGTGCCAATTACTGTGCTGGCATTTGCTGTCCTAGTTCCTGTCAATTGGACTAGTGCAACTTTAGGGGATGATGAAGAGGGTCTAAGTTATGATCAAATTGACAAGCTTTCAATATCGAATCTTGGTCCAGGTTCAGAAAGGTATTACTTCTGTTTACTCCTGATATCCTGGCAATTTCAGAATTTATCGTTCCTCAAGCACCTGCCTGATTATATAGCTATAGATGCAGAGATGCTGTCCTTCTAATCTCCTCATGTCACTTCACTTGGCTCATATTTATTCTACTGAAACTGCTGTATGTTTTCATAGGTTTTGGGTACACATTGGAATGGCCTATGTGTTTACCTTTTGGACATTCTACGTGTTATATCATGAATATAAGGTTATAACAACTATGAGATTGCACTTTCTTGCCAATCAAAATCGTCGGCCCGACCAATTCACGGTAAGATATCTTAACCATGCAAGTTTAATTGGTGTTATGGACCTCGCTGGATCTGAATGTGAATTTTTCATCTTGTTGCTTTGATTTTTTTTCTCGAACCGTTTCAGTAAAACAAGCATAACAATTAGTAGGGACTATCTTTGTGATAGTAAAACAAGCAGTGTACGTGTGTGTAGAATTTCTCAGATTGAATGCAGTGTGTAGAGTAGTTTCCTTGGCTCATAACTCATTTTCCTCCTTATTTTCAGGTACTTGTGAGAAATATACCAGTTGACCCAGACGAAACAGTTGGTGAGCATGTTGAGCACTTCTTTGCTGTGAATCATCGCGAGCATTATCTCAGCCACCAGGTTTTACTCTTTTCTATCTTGTGTGCACCGTGGTATCGTTATGGTGAATACTACTGATACGAATTTAAACCATGAAATTCAACCGAGCATCAAGTTACTTTGTTTTCCAGTTGTTATTTACTTTTCAACTGAAATGCAAGCTTTCTAATTATTTGTTTGCTTTCCAACCGAAGCACCTGTAGGCCCATATGCCTTTATCTTTGAGGATTTTTATGGTACCCTATACTGCTATAGATGGAAGTGAGCAGTATACAATCATCCGCCGCTGATTTCGTGAGGGTAGTCTCGTCAGTTTTCCGTTTTCTAGAATAACGCTAGCTCATCAGCAATCGGTCTGTTGGCCCTGGTTGTGCTGTCGCCCTGTTCCCCGCCGCCCACTCAACGACTAGCCGGCTCCGCCGTCGTCGAACTCGCCTCATTACTCTGTTATGGTTCAAATCTGTTTCTCATTCGGGGTACGTAACTGATCAATAGGTTGCATACAACGCAAACGCCCTTGCCAGTTTGGTTAAGAAGAAGAAAGGCTTGCAAAACTGGCTGGTCTACTACGAAAACCAGCACGCTAAGAACCCTGAAAAGGAGCTGACTATTAAGGTAATAATCTTCCCTCCTTTGCAAATCATGCACCTAAGATCGGTTCGTCACAAAGCTATTTCAATATGTGCTCTAATCTGCAAGTGGTATGGCTCATTTACGTACTTGTCTTGTAGACAGGACTGTGGGGTCTTTGGGGGGAAAAGGTGGATGCATTACAACACTACAAGACAACAATCGAGGAGCTATGTAAACAGGTGCCGGTCATCGTCTTGATAGTGTCATCAAGCAGCACCAATGTCTTCTTTCATTGTACTGCATAGTTCCTCCTAAACGCTGAGCAGCAGTATTAACAATATGTAACCTGTTAATTGCAGGAGGATGAGGAGAGGCAGAAGGTGATTAGTGATCCTAAGGCTATAATGCCAGCAGCATTTGTGTCTTTCAATAGTCAGTGGGGGGCTGCTGTTTGTGCACAAACACAGCAGACAAGTAACCCAACGGTGTGGTTAACTGAGTGGGCTCCGGAACCTCGGGATGTTTACTGGCCTAATCTCGCCATCCCTTTTGTCGAGCTCTCGATCAGGAGGCTTATCATGGCTGTTGCGCTCTTTTTCCTGACATTTTTCTTCATGGTCCCAATTGCGCTCGTCCAATCCGTGGCCAATCTCGACGATATTGAGCGGGTGCTTCCTTTCTTGAAACCTATAATAGAGAGGTGAGTGTAACCGCTCCTTGTTTCACGGTTCAATTGTGAAAAACAAAAAGGGAAAGGCATTTGTGAGATCACTTTTCCCCATATTTTGATTAACGATTCTCCTTGCTAAATAATCAAGAGCAGAAAAAAAAAATCTGTTGAATTTAATAGACCTTGAATTACATAAAAAGTCAGCCACATTATACTGATTTGTTTACAAGGTACTGCATTGCTGGATGTAATTTTCATGGTCAATGCAATTTCCTGCAGAAATGGTCCAAGGTCAGTCATACAAGGTTTCTTGCCAGGAATCGCATTGAAAATCTTCCTTATATTTCTGCCAACAATTCTCATGGCCATGAGCAAGATTGAAGGCCACGTATCACTCTCTGGATTGGAGAGGAAGACAGCATCAAAATACTTCCTGTTTATTTTCGTCAACGTATTCTTGGGAAGTGTAGTAGCTGGAACAGCGTTCCAGCAGCTGAACAGTTTTATCCATCAATCCACTAACAAGTAAGCCAAATTTTGCACTTGGATATAATAACAAGGGTTCAATTATATTTATACTACCACATAAAAAAACTCTTTTACTTTTGTTTTGAAAAAGAATTCCAGAGACCATTGGAGAATCCATTCCCATGAAAGCAACTTTTTTCATCACCTACATTATGGTGGATGGATGGGCAGGCATTGCCGCTGAGGTTCTTAGGTTGAAGCCGTTGATCATGTTCCACATAAAGAACACATTCTTGGTCAGAACCGAGCAAGATCGCGAGCAGGCCATGGACCCTGGGAGCTTGGAGTTTGGCAGCACCGAACCGCGAATACAGCTCTACTTCCTCCTAGGGCTTGTATATGCTGTTGTGACACCCATCATTCTTCCTTTCATCATAGTCTTCTTCGGCCTGGCCTATCTTGTTTTCAGACACCAGGTACACATCTGTCCTCCAGTTCAAGTGATCTATCTTTGTGTTCTTTCAGCTTCAAATTTTTCTTGTGGATATCACATCCACATTGGCATAGATCACAAATTTCTGCTTCATCACAGTATAATGCACCAAAATACTAATCCTTGGTATGTTTCTTTTGTTGCAAGATCATCAATGTCTATAACCAGCAATACGAGAGCGGCGCGCAATTCTGGCCAGACGTACACGGACGAATCGTCACCGCATTAGTCATATCGCAGATCCTGCTGATAGGACTGCTGAGCACACAGGAAGCAGACCAGTCCACTGTCGCCCTTCTTCCTCTTCCTGTCCTGGCCATATGGTTCCACTACGTCTGCAAGGGCCGGTTCGAGCCGGCATACATAAAATTCCCCTTGCAGGCAGGATCAAAACGCATTCTCTTGATCTCTTCTCCATACATAACTGCAGATGATATTCACATCGTCTCCAATGTTAAGCGAGAGCTGCGTTTGATGTTTGCAGGAGGCCATGGTGAAGGACACGCTGCAACGGGCAAACGACCCGATGCTGAACCTGAGAGAGTACCTCAAGGACGCATACGTGCACCCCGTCTTCCGCAGCGGTGACATCTATGAGCTCTTGGCCATGGATGAAGAGGAGAACCCCCACCTTGTCGCGACCAAGCGGCGGTCTCGGATGACCACGCCGGTGGACAGCAAGTTCAGTTCCAGCTCTGGCACCAACGAAGGAGAGTTCAGCCGGCCGCGTCCTAGCTGACAATGAAATGGGAGCAGGCGCTGTCGAGCTAAACTTGATCGGCATCTGCACTGCACCAGTGCATTACCATGTGTGGACGACGTCGATGGAATTGTACATTTGGAGATGTTAGAGCATCTCCAACGGCACACAAAAAGAATGACTACCTAAATCCAGTTTTAGGAGTGAAGAGAGAAGATTTAGGTAGCAATTTTTTTTTCTGTTTTTTATAGCGGACCTAAAAAGAGTAGGGCGTTTTGGAGCTCGGCCTCCATGGAGGCCGGATTTTTTGAAAAATTCAAAATTCACACTTTTCGGTTTCAAAAAAATCTGAAAAAAATCATACAAGTAAACAAGGATGTTATGTGTATGTATGTAAAATTTGAGGACGAAATACCCTAAAATGCGATCTGTGCAAAAAAGATAAATTCATGGACTTTTAGAATGAATAGTGCATCTACTAAAAAGCCTCAGATTTGTTCTTTTTGTGTAGCACTCATTTTAAGGTGTTTTGTCCTGAAAATTTACACACATATGCTTTATGTCTCTAAGTACGTGTGTATTTTAAAAAAAATTGAAACGTGAAAATTTGAATTTTGATCAAGTCAAACTCGGCCTCCATGGAGCCCGAGCTCTAAAGAGCATTTTCGACCTAAAAACTGGATATCTAGATTTCAGCTTCTACTTCTAGCACACATATTTGTAGATATGTGATGTTCCAAATAATATCATACTCATGTCAAATATATCTGAAACAAATAAAATCCAAATATTACTTAATTATGACATAGTTATTCAATCCGCAACTCCAAATGCAACACAAATGTTCATCAAACACAACACAAAGTGCATCGAACATAACATGAAACATATGAATAGAGCAAGTGGTCTTGTTGCCCATTCCATGTCCACCGCTCCTTGACTTGTTGAAAACTTTATTTTCCGTATCTCGAATTACATGGTGAACTTGAAGAACGTTGGGGATGTGTTCTTCTCTCCTACTTTGATGCACCATCCGCACGAATTCATAGTAGAAGCAATCCAAATTTTGGCTACGTTCATGCTCGTTGATCATATTGTGCAAGATCACACCGGCAGTCATGATTTACCAAAGGATTTCTTGGTCCCAAAACCGAGCCGGTCCTCGCACAATAGTAAACTAGACTTGCAAAATCTCAAATGCTCTCTCCACATCCTTCCCAGCAGATGGTTGAGCATTATGGAAACCAAGTTGTTTATTCCTTGGGGTGGTTGGTTGATTTCAAAAAGATTGCCCCCTTTGGGTACATCTCATCCGCTAGATAGTAGCTCATGTTGTATGTGCAGCCATTTGCTTAAAACTCCACTTGTGGTGATTCCCCATTGGCTAACCGTGCAAAGAGTGATGATCGGTGGAGTACATTGACGTCATTGCAAGCTCCAGGCATTCCAAAATAGGCATGCCAAAACCATGTCTCATGATCTGCAATGGCTTCAAGAATGATGTTGGGATCCTTCACATGGTCGATAACTGTCCATGTCATGCCAGAGAGCAGTTCATCCACCTCTAGTGCATGCAATCAACTGAGTTGATCATCCCCCTGAAAACCCTTGTGCTTTGTTCATCTACAAAATCTTGTAAGTGTCCTTAGCATTGGGTGATCTCAAATACTGTGGCCCAAAGACTTCAACCACCGCCTTCACAAATTGCTTCACACACTTGATGAAAGTGCTCTCTCCTATTTCCAGATGATCATCAGTCAAATCTGCAAGAATACCATATGGCATCATGCAGTGCCATAGTCACCATAAAGATACTAATGTGTCCAAGATCTCTGGTACAATTTCTCCTCTGCACGAAGAATTGATCATGCTCTTTGACAGAGTAGGCAATGTGGAGAAACAAATCAGGAGCCATTCTGAACCTACACCAGAAGTAGCGGTCTAGATACACTAGATTTGCACAGAAGTAATCAAGTATGAGCTTATTGTGTCTGTGTAGCCGGCTCCTACGAATCACCTCACAATCGGTAATGGAACCTCCATGTTTCGGCCGCTTGTTCTTCTCCATGTCGATCAACATGATCATGGCAATGTCATCATCTTCATCAAACTCATATTTCTCTTTGGAGGAGGAATCACACCAACTCATCTACACATTGGACATATTGTTGGAATTATGTGTCCTGCAACTATATTCAATTAACTTGGAATTGTTAAATATTCGGAATACCTCATTATGGAATTATACATGTATTTGTACATGGAATTGTTTTACATGTTTAGCATGGAATTGTTACTTGCTGGAACATACTTAAGTTTTTATATATACTTAAGGAAGCTGGTCGATTATCGGTGGAATACAATATACTATTTATATTGGAAAGACTACCCGGGTACACTGATGATTGGAATGAGCTAGATCGTATAATTAGATTACAGCCCTAATGTTGATCTACATAATTAGAGGAATTTACACTCTATTATGACGCGTTGCTCACAAGCGCGTGTTCTGGGGACAAAACGGGTAGAATCCGTTAAACAGACAAATATGATCGTGGTTGGTAATTTGATCTAGACTCTATCCCGGAAACTAGTGGAAAAGACTAGGAATCTTATATCTGTATAAGAGGTGGACTCTTTGGAACGACAGTATAAGAAGGTCCCTACCCCCTAGCCTTAGATATGCGAATTGTTAGGGCACCACGGATAAGCGCAGAGGAATTAGGGGATAAACCATAAACCCTAAATTTCTAACATTGGCATCAGAGCCGAATAAGGGTCAATGACGTACTCATCGATTCGATTCGATCCGTAGTCAACTCTGCTGCGTACTCTACGGATTTGCAAACCATGGTCAGCTTGGGGATCGATTTGTTCTCCTCTTCGTAAAGATAACCTTGCTAATCCGCCATCAGCCACCGCCCCAAGTCGCCGACTCCGGCCCAGGCCCGATCTGCGGCACCTCTGCGAGTAGCTGGAAGTCCGCGCTGGTGCCGGTCGTCGTCGTCGTCGTCCGCGCTGGCGCCGGTCGTCGTCGTCGTCCGCTACATCACCGGACCCGCGTTGCCAAGTCGTCGTCGTCCGCTACATCACCGGACCCGCGTTGCCAAGTCGTTGCTCGGTTCCACATCCCGTCGCTGCGCCGGAACTCTCTCACGCGGATCTGTGCTACGTAGTCTCGTGTTGGGCACATGGGCTAATTCATGTACGCTGGACGTGATTAAAGCGCAGTCCAAGCCGCAGGCACGGGAATCAAGGAATCTAGCTAGGAAAGTGGTAGTCCAAACTCCAAACCACCCAAGCAATTCATCGGATCAGTGAAATCCAGAGTTGCACCAAGGCCTCATTGCTTGCACGGGAGACAAGATATACTAGTTGTTCCTGTTCTGTTCATGTACGCGGATAGAGGAAGGCGAATGTTTTCTGCATGTTCAAGTCCTTGTGCAAATAACGGCCAGCCTGCCGAAAGGACTACACACACCAGACTTTGTGGATTAAGGAAGGCAAATAACACGAACGTGGAACGAACTTGTGCGAACAACGGCTAGCCCGCCGGAAGGACTACATGCACCAGACGCACACATGCTTTCAAAATTGCATATACTAACTACTTTTATTCATTTTATTTGATCATTGATTAATTTTTTTTCTCTGGTCCATTGCATGTAACTCGTAACGAGGAGATGGAATTTACTCGTTGGAAGAATGCTAGTCCCTACGAATAATAATAATCCGAAGGACCCTGGATCATGCATGACTGGATGGAATAGCAATTACTCCGGTGAAAAGATAGCATGGAAATTTTGCATATCTAAGAAAGATATTTATATTGATTATATCGCTTGTTGCGGAGGAAGAAAGATATCACTCCAAAGAAAAGGAAATTTGCTCTCGCTTGACGGTATGTCCATTGGCAATGTTTACACTTTATATGTTTATATCTATCACTACTTTTTCCAATAGGTGGAACACAGTAGCAACTTTATTTATATCTAAACAATTCCCAAGGAAGGTAGATGATGTCTATTTCAGCAGTAATGCTATTTTTGAAATACTGGGAATTGGAAATTATGCCATCAAACTCCATTGTGGAGGAAAATTATTATTGATAGATACGCTATTGTACTAACCTTGCGTGAGAAGGAATTCAAAGAAGTGTCTATTATGAGCTTAATTTATTTGTGGAGGAAGATGGGAACCACTCCATGGAAAAGGATTATTTTCTCTCCCATTTAAGTAACATTTTTATTGACATGGTAACAATACCAAAGGAAATCATATATATTGTGTATTTTAACATTGCTGTTAAATCTTATACACTTTGGAATTGGAAATTTTGCCATGAAACTCCCTGGTGGAGGAAAAGTATTATTGTTATAGGACAATCTGTGAAACTTTAATGTGAAGGGATTTAATTTATTGTTCTATCTTGAAACCCAATGATTATGAAATACTATTTGGAAAAGGAAGAGTGGAAATACTGCTCAGTGATAAAATTAGTGCAGTACAGCATTTCACACAATGGTTTATTCTTTCTTGATGGTCCATTGGAAGTTAGCAACCCAAATTGTTATTTGGGGAATAACTCGCGGAGAGGAATGCTGATAACGGGAACACATGCTTGGAATTTATTATCTACATCATCAACGACTTGGTCACATATCTTGGAACTAGATCATGAGGCTTATTGATTCTGGAATTTTAAACTTTAGTGGGAGGACTATGGTACATGTGAAGCATTGATGATTTTTTTTATACACCCTCTTTTTATTAAGGTGGAAGGAGATAAAAGGCTTCACATTGTTTCTATTTGATATACTTATGGCATTTCTTTGGATATCCCCACTAGAGGTCAGGTTATTTATTTTAGCTCATTCATTGATGATTGCACTTGATATGTTTATGTTTATACTATTTCAAAATACAAGTCGGAATGATTTATTGTGCTTGTCACATGTTATACTGAAGTGGAAAATCAGTTGATTAAATAATTTCATAGTTTTAATAACCGATTGGTGGGGGAAGTACACACTTCAGGA